CTGAGTACAGTATCTTGCTCTTTGGCCTGTATGTGATTTTATTTATTTATTTACTTTTAAGCAGTGGCACTGTTTCTTCAGACAGCTCTATATGAGCTCCTTGCACTCTGGGAGCAGAGACTGTCCCTTTGTGCCAGATGTGGAAACCATGCTTTATCATCTGGACAGCAATCTGTGTTTTAATAACACTTTCCATGTGCCTGCCTGTGGATGGTGTTGTAAGGGTGCTGCTGTTCGAATTCAGCCACACCATCCTCCGTGGGGCTCTCCAAGTGTCTGAAAAGTGATAGCACTAAATCTTGTGGTGTAAACGAATACAACCCTGCTCTAGAGATAAGAAATCAGCACAGAGGTTAATTGGCATCTTGTGCTCATCTGTAAGCAGGTTCTGTTACTCTTAAGCAGTGGCTGGAACGGCTGCAAAAGGCATGTCCCACTGCACCTCTGGCTGGAGGCAGGGGTGAGCAGGAAATGTGGAGCGTGGGCAGGAGGATGCTGTGCTGCAGCTCCCTGTGTGAGGACTGCCCTGGGGTCTGTCCGTCTCTGCCGTGGCAAGGTTCGTGCTGGCTCCAAAATGGGAAGCAGCCCAGGGCTGCTGCTAAGCTAACAGCTTCTGTTCCTCATCGAGGCCAGCAGCGTTGACAGAGTGCTGTGTGGGTGGGTGTTGCTTTTGGGACTGGAAATAGCATCTCTGCTTGGCACTGTATTGAGCAAGCCGAGGTGGGGAGTTGGTGCCAGGTAAATGCTGGGCAGGAACTGCCTACAGTGTGCTAATTTGCATGTTATAGGCAAATTCTGAGGCTTAAACTCAGCATCTGTTCAGTTCAAGCAAGAAAACAGATGTTTTTTAGGTATTTCCACACTGTTTTATCTTAAAAGTGCAAATCGTTCCCAACAGTGAAAGTACTTTGCTGTCGATAAGCTTTCTGCACATCTTTCCTAAAACACAGAAAATGTCTTTTGATTAACTTTCCCGTACATGGCTTAGTTTACATATGTATGAAATTTAAGCTGCCATGGTTAAATGTATGCAAGCTGATGTTTGAAAGCAATACAGTTCCCATATGTTTTCAAGGTTCAAACAAGGAGTGGGGGAATGGTTAGGATAGATAAATAAATCCCTTATTGTTTTGACATCTTTTCTTAGGTGTAGGCTTCTGTAGTCTAGCACTTTGATTTTGAGTATAAGCTGTTGGAGAAGCTCCTGTAATTCTCATTGACAGATGTTTTGTACCTGGGGGGACTGCACAGAAGTGCTGAACAACCATTACCCAGGAGATGCCCCCCCACCTTTTCCCTGCAGTTTGAAAATGCCCACTTTGTGAGAGAGCCAGCATCACCTGCCTTCTGCTGTGTGGGCTTGTTTTTTTTTTTCCTGTGCTCACTTCATGGAGGTGGTGGTTGTCACTGCTCTTGCTAACTAATCAAGTTGCCCTTTAATTCCTGCTTTCTGCAGTATTTCCAGTGCCGAGTTCATTCAAGGGGTGCTGGTAAATCTGTCGAGACACACAATCTGACTCCTCCCTCTCCTGGCCTGCCAGGATGAGCTCCTAGGCACCAAAACATCCTTCTGCAGTAACTGGGCTGCAGTGGAGGTGGGGGTGCAGGGAACCGTTTCCATGCTGTGAGAGACTTCAGAATTATGCATCCATAAATGGACATAAAAATATATGATATGTGTTTTCTCATAGCTCATTTATTATCTAGAAAAGTATTACATTTGCTAGCTTCACAATTTTATATGTAAAGTATGTTGCATTGACTGTTCATTTAAAGGGAAGAGGAGAGGCATAGTATAAATACGCCTTTTAAATCAGAAGAAGAAAGGCTTAAATGATGATGCAGTAAAACTCATAAGAATGGTGGTGGTAAATCCATGTTTTCTGTAACTCCCTGAGATCTGCAGAAGTATTCTGTAAACTCACATGGGAGAGATGCTGTGTGTTTGATTAGATATTATTCATTTACTTTGGTAATTTAAGGCTGAAAGAGGCATGCAGAGTTGTTAACACCTGCATGTTTCTCACATGATTTCTTTACTGCCCCAGAAATAAGTTGATGTATTTAAATGACAAAAAAAAAAGTGCTTCTGAGCTGTCAGTGTGTTTTGACTTTCTTATAGGCTGGTCCAGGGACCATCATCATGGCTTCAGGAGTCCAGGATTTTAACAGAACAGAGTCTGACAGACTGAATGAGATCAAAGGTCACCTGGAAATAGCCTTACTGGAAAAACACTTTTTACGTAAGTATAAAATGCTCTGTGAAGGCTTAAGCCTGCTGAAAAAAGGTTTCTCTAAACTGTAGGAGTTGGCATCAGAGTTTTGAGGTGTGCTGATGTGTGGATAGCATGCGGGCTGATGCTTCCTTAAGACGAGCTTAAAAGCATTCCCAGGGTTTCTGGGTCACTTTGATATTTTTTCCTGATTCCATTCCTCGCGACATACCTCACTGCGTGACTAAAGCTGCTTGGTTGAAGTCTTGATGTTGACATCTACTGGTTGTCTTAGAACTAAGTCAACCATAATGTGCTTGCAATAGGTGTGGTTTTTTCTAGTAGTAATTTGTAAGAAGAGGTTTTTTGAAGGGGTGAGCAGTGCATTTCCTTGGCAGCTGTTTCAACAAATAATGCGTCTTAAAATACATGCCTCTATAGAATTACTGGTAAGTGGCGTAAGAAATACAGAGAAGAGTGTCTGTAGATTTCAACTGTTACTTGTTTGTGTTTGTGTTTATATATGTGTGTATATGAGAAAAAATTGTCATTCATGGCTAGAGGAAGCTGAAAGATTTTTAGATTTTATCTCAGCAGATCTGAACAGATCTCAGCAGATCTGATTTTTAAGACAGGAGTGTTAAAACAGAAAAATGGAAGACAAGCATTCCTGTAACTTGACGGAAATAGGGATGAATCAATGAGAATTCTTGCTCAGTTGCTTCTCAAAATGGTCATTTTAATGGTTTGTTTTTGAACTTGAGTATGAGGGTTGTTTGGTTTTATGTGTTCAAAGCTTGTCAGATGTTTTCTAAAGGGTAGAAATAACAAGGCTATAGATTCTATTTCAATTTCTAGACTAGAATCTTCTAGTGTGTTCTAACAACAAGACTTGTGTTTTATCTTCAGCATATTCTCAAGGATTTGGCGTTAATTTTCTGTGACTTGTTTTTCATTTGGCAATATTTCTTTGATATGTTTTCCCCCTGTGTATGAGAGGGAGGCTTGATAAAGGCAAGAATTTGTAAAAAGCTGCCATCAGCTTCCAGTGATACCTGGAACAGGTGTCACAATTGGAATATCAAGCAAAAACTGAAATATCTGCTTGACTTACCTTGTTGGTTTCAGTGACTTGAATTCTTATTTAACTGTGCAGTAGTGAGTTACCATGTACTCCTTCCATCTCTAAATACATATTGCTTAAGCCCTTATTATCCAACTGTTTTTAAAACTAAATAGGACATGTGTAATTTCCTAATGTAATCTAATCTGTAACAGAAACAGTAGGATTTACCAAAGCTGACTTCTGGTTTGAAATAGGACATTCTTTTTGATATAAAAAATATGATAGGGTTAGAATAGCCTGAGGTTTAATGCAGCCGAAATTATAGAGTTGTCCTGGTAAGTTGGTTGTAACTCTGTACATAAGAATAAGGATCATAAACTGGTTGAGAAATAAGCATATTAAAGCTTTTCCCTTATTCCCCTAGACTCCATTCAAAATTGTGGGTTGAAATGTGTTGCCATGTTTGTCAGCTGGAGTGAAGGAGAAGCTCACTTTTTGGGCATGGCTCTTGCATTCTGTTCTGGGACGAGTCATGAGACAGGGGAGATTCAGATTAGATGTTAGGACAAATGTTTTCCCTGTTAGAGTGGTCAGGCACTGGAACAGATTGTCCAGGGGAGGTGGTGGAGTCACCATCCCTGGAACTGTTTAAGAGGCATCTGGATCTGATGCTGGTGGATATGGTTTAGGGGGTTCCAGCAGAGTGACGGGTTAAGGGTTGGACTTGATCATCTTAAAGGTCTCCTCTACCTTGATGATTCTATGATTTTTTTCCTTTTCCTTCTCTTGGAGTTAACATTATGGGCTTTTGTTGACACTAGAAATGCTTTGTTATTGTTTTTTTTCCAAAAGTGAACTAATGGTGTGCAGAAAAACATTCTTGAAATGTGCAGTTTGTTTACTTTAATTTGTCCTTGGAAGAAAGCCTGATCATTATGTGTTTCAAATTCTATTGCTGCGGTAGGTGTTTCTTAAGAAGGCTAGTTGCTCTGCTGTATTTGCATCCTATTTTTCATTATGGAATTCTTTATTCCTTTCTATAATTGTGTTTTCACATTGCCATGTCCTCTTGCTTCATTTCCTCCAGCTAGGTGTGCAAAAATCAAAGCAACTGTTAGTGAGGGAAGTTTCATGGATTTGCTTCTTAACATATTGAGTTTCTAATTGTTGCCAGCTTGACTCTGACTTTATTTTTGCCTCTTCTTTCAATGCTTTTTTGTATTGGTATGTTATTAGGCAGGAGGTTTAAGGAGGAGAGATTTCCTCTTAGCTATAATTAAATGTAATGCACATGTATATTACACAGCTTCAAGTCAGTATGGGGCTGTAGTTGCCTGGCTAAAGGAAGAACAAATCACTAGTCTCTAAACTCCATTCAGCCATTAGTAGGCACAAGTAGTAGGCGCATTTGGCTGTGTAGTATTTTCAGTGAAACATATCCCAAACCTCAATGTAGCCTGTACAAGCTGCAGGGGAAGTCTGGAACAAATAGTTACTGGAGACAAACTGTTACCTGTAAAGGGAAAAGATCTCCACCTGAGATGTTAGATGAATATCTTTAGTGAAGAGATAATCTAAACATCCAGAAATGTGAAGATGGAGAGATATTGCTTAGCATATGCTTAGCTGTAATTGCAAATACAATGTGCTTGAAAATGCAAGGGGTTTAAGCTGCAGTCTGACAGGAGGATGAGAGGCACACAGAGGAAGAGATCTTGGATAATGTCTTAAGCAATAGAGAGAGGGGGATCATCTGACTCTTCCAGCCAGCCAAAGGGACCATTCCCTATCTGTATGGGAATGGTCTTAATCTCTGTGATCTAATGGCTCCTTCTGAGCCTTATTACAGGAATGCTGAAATGTGCGTTGTGTTTGTGGCGTTGGTGTAGGTTACTGCAGAACAAGGCCTGAGCACCAGGTGACTTGAAAAGTGCAGTGTGCTTAGTCTGCTGGAGTTTGGAATGCAGGTGGGTGGAAAAAAACTTAATCTTGAAGCTGTGATAATCAGAATCATCCATTTCTAAAGGACTTTGCATTATTATAACCTAGTTTTTAATGCATGTGAACACTGCCTTGATTCTAGTTGAGGGTTCAGGTTGGGAGTGCAACTACTGACCCAGGGCAGATAGATGCTAAGGTTAGTAGTGGTTTTAGTGTTTTCATTTCAAAACCTAGTTGCATCTAAACAAGAAATAAAACTGTGCTTGCTGTTCTTGCATTTGAAAGAAAACAATGTGCAAACCCACAAAACAATCTTTCTGGGTTTACACCTCATTGAGGTAAACGTTCTGTTTTTCCTCCAGTTACTTCCTGTGCCTGCTTATAGAGGGCAGTTTTGCAGATATCAGCTCTCTGGTCCTGGTGCTACAAGATGCTTTGTAAGCATACATGTGTCCTGTGGTTTACATGAAGTATTACCTAATTCTTATCCAAGAATGTTCAAGCCTTTTGCAATGTTACATTTAGCAGCTCAGGGAAGAGGAGTTGCTGGAAGCAGCAGCTAAGAGTAAATAAACCTGGTGACTGTTAGAGAAGAGGGTTAGTCATGAACTGGTAAATCAAAGAAATGCCACGTCAGAATGAAGAGCTCTAGGAGGAAATAAAGTCCTCTCCCATAAGGGTTTTGCGTTCCACTCTGTACAGTAGACTGTGACAGGAATGTCTAGAGACTTGCCCAACTGTTGGTTTCACCATTACAAAAGAAGTTGGGATTATACTGCTTTCCCATGGAAATTTGTGCTTCAGCACACTCTTCATCCTTGTGCCTTTTTGAGCCATGTATGTGACTAACTCCACAGTATTTTCTCTGGCTTCTGCTTTCTGGTATAAGTGACCTTATGATTAGTTGTAAGAAGAGTGATCGAACAGGATACTGACCTCATGGAAGTAGAGCTCTATAAAACCATACGTGATTCTCAGGCAGATCTGGGATCATAGAATTTTAAGGGTTGGAATGGACCTTATAGATCATCTAGTCCCACCCCCACTGCCATGGGCAGAGACACCTCTCCACTAGACCAGGATGCTCAAGGCCTCATCCAGCTTGGCTCTGAACACTTCCAGGGTTGGGGCAGCCACCATGTCCCTGGGCAACCTCTCTGCACTCTGGTGGAGGAGGTGGGTTGGGCTGTTGCTCAGTCTCAACTTGGCTTCCAAGACCAGGGGAGAGGGAAAGGTTGCAACTCCAGCCCAGTGTAGCAGCAGGCTGGAGTCCTGGGGTGGTCTTTGTTCTGGACCTGGCTTGTGTAATCTGCCCTTGTCATGGGACAAAGCACATACATGGTGATGTAGGTGATGATGCTGTACATGAAGATGTGAGGATCTCACGCTGTCACACCATTTTTTCATGGGACTGATGAACCAAAATGCAGCACTGTAGAGACATGTATTGTTTGAGCTCCTCCAGAGGCTCGAATAGATGCCGCCTACTCGCTGCGTTATGTAGGTGGGCTGTGCTCTTGCTTCTGCCTTCTTTGCATGCCCAGCTTGGCTTCAGGAATTGCAGAGAGGTTTTGAAAACTCAGACAGGGCCATGGTCAGCACTGTCGTGCCTGTCTATTTTGTGTAATTGGGATGGAGCTTTTGGGTGCCCCATGTGGAACCTGCCCTTCCCTGCACAGCTTAGTAACACAAAAGCCTTGGAAGAGCTGCTGCTATTCCTAAGCCAGAAATTATTTCAACATTTATAGCCCTGTCGCTGCTGCCAAAACCAGAGAGTGGAAACCATTCCTGCAATATTTTCGCAGTTCACTTCATTTTAAATGGTTTCTGCAACTCTTCTGGCATTTTTATTCTCTGAAATTTTGGAAAATTCGTAGAGCAGCTGTACTTTTCATAACTTCTAAGACGACTTTTTATGTGTATCTAGCAACAGAAAACTTCCCACTTGATGTTTTGAGATGAGGATCCGTCTCAGTAAGCTATTGATTTTTAAGATAGTTTGCATATTTTCAGGAAGCTTAAT